TCTTTTTTTCTTCCTTTTCCCCCTTTCCTTTTTCCTTTCTCCTCTGGGTTGTCTTTCTCTCTCCTGTCTCGTGTTTCTGTTCCTTCTTCATTTATTTTATTCACCACACTCCCCTTTCACGCACCTCTGTGCGCTTGCTCTCCCTCTGTGGGCATCTAGCTCTCTTGCAGTGCTCCCCTTCCTTTGTTTTTGACTGACTCGTCTTCCTTATTTCCCACTTCTACCACTACCACTACTACTACCTCTTCTTCTTCTACTACTACTACAACTACTGATGAAATTAAGACACATGTGCGGCAGTCTGGTTGTCTTTGTTGTGGACGTTTCGCCATCCAGTGGCTGGCTGGATGGCGAAACGTCTACGATGGGGATGCCCGGGTGTTGTGCATGTGTCTTAATTTCATCTTGTCGGTATTATATACAATTCTTGTACTACTACTACTACTACTACTACTACTACTACTACTACTACTACTACTACTACAGCTACTACTACTACTACTACTACTACTACTACCTCCACCTCTTCCTGCCTATATATAGCCGTCCTGCTCCACCACCGAAACGTCGTCGTAAGCTTCTCTCTTTTATGTGCGGGTTATTTGTGTACCATAACATTGTATCAATCGCATCTGCTAGAAAAATGACAGGATGGATAATGAGAACCTTCAAAACTAGGGAGGTCAAGCCCATGATGACACTCTTCAGGTCATTTGTTCTATCTAGGCTGGAATATTGCTGCACACTAACAGCACTTTTCAAGGCAGGTGAAATTGCTGACCTAGAAAATGTACAGAGAACCTTCACGGTGCGCATAACGGAGATAAAACACCTCAATTACTGGGAGCGCTTGAGGTTCCTAAACCTGTATTCCCTGGAACGCAGGAGGGAGAGATACACGGTTATATACACCTGGAAAATCCTAGAGGGACTAGTACCGAACTTGCACACGAAAATCACTCACTACGAAAGCGAAAGACTTGGCAGACGATGCAACATCCCCCCAATGAAAAGCAGGGGTGTCACTAGCACGTTAAGAGACCATACAATAAGTGTCAGGGGCCCGAGACTGTTCAACTGCCTCCCAGCATACATAAGGGGGATTACCAATAGACCCCTGGCAGTCTTCAAGCTGGCACTGGACAAGCACCTAAAGTCGGTTCCTGACCAGCCGGGCTGTGGCTCGTACGTTGGTTTGCATGCAGCCAGCAGTAACAGCCTGATTGATCAGGCTCTGATCCACCAGGAGGCCTGGTCACAGACCGGGCCGCGGGGGCGTTGACCCCAGAACTCTCTCCAGGTAAACTCCAGGTATTATGGTTGCACTTGTCTCAGTGAGCCTGGTTGGTTTAGTTATTGTTGGTATGAGAAGTGTGTTGTTCATATTGTTGATGAAATCAGTTACAGGCTGATCATCTAGTAAGCCAAGGTTGATGTTGAAGTCTCCAGCTAAGAGAAGGTGGTGCTTATTCATTTGTCTGTTTGTTATTAGTGACTTTAATTTCTCACTGAAATTTGGGATGTTTGTGTGAGGTATCCGGTAAATGGCACCGATTGTTATAGGTGTCTTAAGGTTTTTTACAGTAAAATTAGCAAAAATGTATTCCCCACATTCATCATTAAAGCAAGTGGTGCTAATACAAGATAACTGGTTAGAGTAATAGATTGCAATACCACCCCAACTTGGTTTGGTCTGCAGTTGTGAATTGCTCTGTATACTGGTAGAGGGTAGATATCTATTGTGTCCTGCTTAAGCCAGGTCTCAGTAAGAATAATGCAGGAGAAGGGTGTCTTTAGTGATTCAAGGAGTGCCAGGTCATCATAGTGTTTGCTTAAGGACCTGATGTTGTAGTTAAGTACTGATAGACTTTTGGCATTGTTTAGGATAGTGCTGGCTTGTGATGCTGTGTAATAAAGGCAGTTACTTTCCAATAGGTTTTGATTGGGTGTCAGATTATGGAGGTTTAGATCAGGGTCAACGTGATCAATCATCTTTAAATTATGGTTATTTATATCCTGAGTTGTGTGTTGAGTTCTAGTACTGATATCTGTAGTGGTGGGAAGTTTGGACAAGTATATAGCTAGAGTATTTTGGTCATACAGAGTATAGTCACTAATACACATAATGAAGTTGATGTTATCTATGTGTTGTGCTGGAATGAACTAAAGTACAACTAGGTATAAACTAGTAATATAAAAATACAAATTAAAAATAGAACAAGACTCTCACTTGTAATTGCACTAAGGTCTAATATAATGACTTTTGTGGAGTCTATGTTTTGAGCTAGAATGAGCTATAGTATAACTAGGTTTAATCTAACAATATAAAAATACAAATTAAAAATAGCACCAGTCTCTCACTAGTAATTGCACTATGGTCTAATGTAGTGAATTTGGTATTGACTATGTATTGAGCTACAATGAGCTATAGTACAACTGAGTTTAATCTAATAATATAAAAAAGGCACAAAACTCTCAATTGTAATTGCACTAAGGTCTTATATAAGTTGTTTATAAGAATTAGAGTATAACTAGATTTAAATTGACAGGATAAAATACACAAGTTAAGGTAGCAAAAGAATAATAAAAAAATTATAAAAATAAAAATGGCAATGACTTGGTTATAATATGCTAGTAAGATGGTAGACAGGATAATATAAAAGTTGTAGTTGAAAATACTAGTTTAAAAAAGTATAGAATAAAAATGGTTAATAAAAGAAGTTTACAATAAGTTTGGTCAATATAGGGATTTTAGAATAAAATTGTGCAATTGAGTATTTCTTGAAGTGAGGTAGAATTATTGAGGACAAGTTATGGTTAGTTTAAAATAAAATAAGATAGAACAGTGATGTGGTAAGTTGTAAAAAAGGAGATAGATTCTCTAGATATTAAACACAATTAAGACTATGAGGTAGAATGGTCGTTGAATACAACAATGACAATCAAAAGTAGTTGGGGTATAAGAATTTTAGGGGGGCACAAATTTATGACAATATAACACTAACGGTAGACTATGGGTATTATCTGCACTTTACTCTGATTCTGTTAGTCCAGCCTCACTTAGGAATGTTTTAAGGTCACGTTCTGTAGAGATGAAGTATCTCTTCCCAGTGGGCTGTTTCCTAACTGTGATTTTTCCATCCCTCACAAAGCACTGGTGGATTTTTTGGGCATAGCATAATTTTCTTAGCCGATAAAGAAGGTTTTGTCTTATTTTGGTAAGGCACTCATTGACGTAAACATCAGATTTCATAGAAACAGATGTTTTTAGTAGGTTGTTTCTTTGTAGGCTAGTTTGGAATTTTAACAGCACTGTTTTTTTACCCGCTTGGTAGCCCATCAGTTTGCAATCCTTTAGGTCATCACTATGTATGTTAAGGCGAAGGTGGCCCTTGATAAGCTGTAGGGTGGTCTCCATGCAGGTCTCTTGGGTGACTATGGGTGGGAGATGTTTGCTGTTAACTACAACGGCGTCAGATAGCTGCTGCTGGTCATTATGGTCTTGGAAGTTGGTTATGACATTGGCAAGTTGTTGGTCCACTCTTGATCTTTCCTCTATAATGTTGGTAGTAAGTAGGGTGACTTGGTCTTTTAGAGTGTTGATGGTGTCTAGGGACTGGGTGTGGGTGTTGCTTTGTTGTTCCAGAGTGTCTAGTTTATGTTCAAGAGCAGTGATCTTGTTGAGGTAATCTGCATTACTAGCTTTTAGTTCCTGCATTTCTTAAGTTAGTTTGGTGATCGTTTGGTTCTGAATCGTAAGGAGTTTAGCTATTTCTGGGTCGGTGATCTTCTTGACATCAAATACTGGGAAGGAGTTATCTTGGACTGTGGCGGCGGCCATGTTTGTTGTTGTCTGTCGTGTGTTGTGGTGGTGCCGGTGGGTGATGAGGGTTGTGTCCTGGCTGGCAGTACCACAAGTTTTCCTCGTGTTATTACTGCTCTCACCTTTGATGTTAGGAGTCCTTAGCTGGTTACTGGATCTTCTTTTATTGCTCTGACCCTTGTCCATTGGCTGTGGCTTCGGGTGAATAGTAGGCGATGGGTGATGGGTGAATGTTGTGGAGTATCACTTCAGTGGCAGCGGGGTAGGTGGTAGTACGAGTCCTATTAGTTGGTAATTTGTGAACTTTTGGGTGATTTCTGCAGTTGATTTATATCATTCTGGGTATCCACACATGTTAGTGTTATGTGGGTCTTGATTAGGTCATCACTGGGCTGCTGGGAACCTCAGGTAGAAGTAAAAATAAAGGACAAGGCTCCTGTTGCCGCTGCCGCTGATGATAGTGGATAATAATGATACATATCACGTTTGCCATAGAATTTGTCCCAGTTATCAATGAATGGGACTGACAGTTCCTTGCAGCACCTGTCTAGCCAGCAGTTTATACCAGTTGCCCTAGACATCCATTCATTGCCCACACCCTTTCTAGGCAAGATGCTACATATGACTGGGATCCCTCCCTTAGACTTGACTACTTCTATGGTTAATCTGTACTTATCCAGCAGCTCCTGTCTCCTGCCCTTGTTCCCATTACCTGACAATATTATCCAACCTGCTGACTATGTCACCAACACCAGCTCCTGGGAGGCACACCCTCTGTGTGACCTTCCTGTCTCTTACAAAAAGCAAGGTCCATATATCAATCGGTGATAAATTTCCCCTGTTCTCTCTGGGATGCTTGTCCTCATCTATTCTGCCCTTCGGGCACTCTACAGGAGGGGCACCTGTTCATCGGCTTATTTTTAGTCAGCTCCATTTTTTCCACTCTGCGGACAAGTCTTGAACGGTCCTTGGTAGGAAGCCGGTTACTGAACTCAGATGTGTGTGGGCGTCCCGCTCTGCTGGGGCTTGGCAAGGGAGTCCACCGGATATAATCGGAAAGTTCAAGTTTCTATCTCTATTTACAAAGGAACTTTTGTTCCTTTTCTTTCATCGTCCAGCCTTGGGCAACAAATCTTCCTCGTGCCATCGAGAAGTCCGGCTCGGTACGGCTGATACTGTCAGTGGCCGATAAACCCAACAAAGAAAGAAAGGAAGGTCGCGACTTCAGTGTGCTGGAGAGCAGACGTATTTAAGTTTATTTAGGCACAGGTACACATAAGTACAACTATCATATATAGTGTTAATTACCTAGGATAACCCAAAAAAGTCAGACCTGGCTTTGCTAGTGTAAGCCTACTTGCTACCTGATCTTAGTTGGAAATTTAATATTCCCGTTTCTCTTTCCGAAGGGAACTTTACTTCCTGTCTCATTCCCTTCCAGATTTAGTCAATATCTACCAGACTCCAGTAGGTGGGGGGGGGGGGGGGCTCGATAAGCGTCAACTTTAGTGGCCCTGAATAATCTCAACAACAACAACAAGAATTAAGTTTAAAAGTAAGTAAGTAAGTTTATTCAGGTATACACAAATACAGTTACATAGAATTATCTTACATAGCAGCATATGTGTAGAGAACCTAGGATAACCCAAAAAAGTCAGACAGAGCGACTTATTTCCATTGGGGTCCATTTACCTTATTATTATAAAGGGTATAATATTTTCTTATTATTCTATAATGAAGATAGCATCTTATTATCATACTAAAAAGATCTACTACACGAGGGTCATTAAGACTATCTACAATACGAGGGTCATTACTAGGAATAAGGTAAAATTTACACGTATGTTAGCTAAAAAATAGAAAATCATTCCCCTCCCTTTCTGTAGCTACATTCATCAGACACCATTTGGCACTCTTCTTGAACTGGTTCATGATATGACTGGCTTTGACATGTGCGGATAGTCTGTTCCATTCCTTTATTGCTGTATTAATTTATATTAATTTTGACTTCTGCGCCAGCCTTCGTCGGGTGTGGACGTCTTTCGCCTGAGTTTCAGTGGCAAATTTCCACCGTTCTCTCTGGGACGCTTGTCCTCATCTATTTTGCCGGCCGGGCACTGTACAGGAGGGGCACCTATTCATCGGCTTACTTTTAGCCAGCTCCATTTTTTTCTGTTCTGCAGAAAATTCTTTAACGGTCTTTGGTGGGAAGCCGGTTACTGAACTCAGGTGGGGGTGTGGGCGTCCCTCTCTGCTGGGGCTTGGCAAGGGCGTCCACTGGATCTAATTGGAAACTTCAAGTTTCTATCTCTATTTACAAAGGAACTTTTGTTCCTTTCCTCTCATCACCCAGCCTTGGGCAACAATTTTTTCTCGTACCATCGAGATCATCATACATAGAAGCATGTGTGTAAATTACCTAGGATAACCCATAAAGTTGGAGTGACTTATTTCCATTTGGGGTCCGTGTGATAGGCATAAATTATACTGAAAAGTTAACAACAGGTAAGTATCTTAATTATGTTAAAAGTAGTTACAATGAAAGGAGATATACTAGGGGTAAGGTAAAATCACATACTTACATTGACATTAAATATAGTATTAGATCATAGTACATGTATGTTAGGTATACAAAAAGCCGCTCTCCTCCTTTTAGTTAGCTCTCAAAGAAATGGAAAGTTTCGGCTGAATCTTCTAATGAAATGAACTAAGGTGTAACAGAAGCGGTGTCGTCAGAAACCGAGGAAGTTCACACCACATGTACACCTCCCAGTGTATTAATTTTCACTACAGGTAGGTTAACTTATGTTGGCCAATATAAGTTTCTTACAAAGAGGGTGACATTAGGATATAACACCCAAATCTTAATTTGTTGAGTAATATTGGAATGTCCTTTACACGTTTTCTAATCAAGGATGTAATTGATTTATAATATTTATATAAAATTACTCAAACAAATTACTCAGGTCAAGTAATTGATATTACCAAGTATATACAGTCCACACATAATTTGTCAGTGTTAGTGGCATAATTTTTCAAATAATTTTAAGGACTATGTTCTAATAATTTAAGGTCCAGATGTTTGAGATATGGTGAGTTGAGAAGGTAGGCATGAAGGAGGGATATTATTGTGATCTGGTGTCCTTAAAGTCCCACTTGACTCTGAGATATATCAATATCAGTAAGTGTAAACTGTTTGATGTATCAAACTTTCTGTTCAGTTATGGGGGTGAAATGTTAGTTCAGGATTGTACTTGTAAAATTTACCCCCATAATTTCTCACATTACATGTCTTGAGAAAAACATGTTATGGTCACGTAAAATGTACATTATGTAGATTTAATATAGGATAGCCCAATCAAGTCAATCGCTGCTACTCATTTCCCCTTGGGTGCCTTTATTCCCAGTGAGGTTCCATTTGTTTTAGAGAGATTTGTTGTTCTAAGGTTTAAATAATAGCATATTACAAGGACCCCAATGGAAATAAGTCACTTTGACTTTTTTGGTGTTATTCTAGGTAATTTACACTCTGATAATTCTACTTATGTGTCAACTTTAGTGGCCCTGAATAATCTCAACAACAACAACAAGAATTAAGTTTAAAAGTAAGTAAGTAAGTTTATTCAGGTATACACAAATACAGTTACATAGAATTATCTTACATAGCAGCATATGTGTAGAGAACCTAGGATAACCCAAAAAAGTCAGACAGAGTGACTTATTTCCATTGGGGTCCTTTTACCTTATTATTATAAAGGGTATAATATTTTCTTATTATTCTATAATGAAGATAGCATCTTATTATCATACTAAAAAGATCTACTACACGAGGGTCATTAAGACTATCTACAATACGAGGGTCATTACTAGGAATAAGGTAAAATTTACACGTATGTTAGCTAAAAAATAGAAAATCATTCCCCTCCCTTTCTGTAGCTACATTCATCAGACACCATTTGGCACTCTTCTTGAACTGGTTCATGATATGACTGGCTTTGACATGTGCGGATAGTCTGTTCCATTCCTTTATTGCTGTATTAATTTATATTAATTTTGACTTCTGCGCCAGCCTTCGTCGGGTGTGGACGTCTTTCGCCTGAGTTTCAGTGGCAAATTTCCACCGTTCTCTCTGGGACGCTTGTCCTCATCTATTTTGAGATATGGTGAGTTGAGAAGGTAGGCATGAAGGAGGGATATTATTGTGATCTGGTGTCCTTAAAGTCCCACTTGACTCTGAGATATATCAATATCAGTAAGTGTAAACTGTTTGATGTATCAAACTTTCTGTTCAGTTATGGGGGTGAAATGTTAGTTCAGGATTGTACTTGTAAAATTTACCCCCATAATTTCTCACATTACATGTCTTGAGAAAAACATGTTATGGTCACGTAAAATGTACATTATGTAGATTTAATATAGGATAGCCCAATCAAGTCAATCGCTGCTACTCATTTCCCCTTGGGTGCCTTTTTTCCCCAGTGAGGTTCCATTTGTTTTAGAGAGATTTGTTGTTCTAAGGTTTAAATAATAATTCTAGGTAATTTACACTCTGATAATTGTACTTATGTGTACCTGTGCCTATTTAAACTTATATTTCATAATCATGGAGAGGAAGAAAATGCTCCAAGCAAACTGCATGTCATAAACCACAATATGTGGTTTGTGACATTTTATTGAGATGTTTCTTCCACCAAGGATGAAAGTGGTGAGGTGCCTGGTGGACGAAATATTTTCTCAGTACAGTGCTAGAAACCACATATGTCTTAATAACATACTTGTCAGTATATTCATCCACTGATACACTTGTATGCATTTGGAAGAGAAACAGAGACTATATGCCAAACTCAGCAGTCTCTCTCATTCAAGAATATATCATTTGTTAACCCTAGTAACCCCCAAAAAGAGTTATATCACTATAAATTTACTAAATTTACTTTAACCCATCCTAACACCCTGTCATATCTCATCAAGTGTGTCTTGATGATGTTGAAAGGCTCGTGATCCAAAGATTTGGAATTACCTTCCCCTTCATTGGATGAAGCCTGATTACCACCACAGTGTGATTACCACCACAGCCTGATTACTACCACAGCCTGATTACCACCACAGCCTGATTACCACCACAGCCTGATTACCATCAGTGTGATTACCACCACAGCCTGATTATAATCAGACTGTAGTGGTAATTACCACCAAAGTCTGATAACCACCACAGCCTGATTACCACCACAGCCTGATTACCACCACAGCCTGATTACTGCCACAGCCTGATTACTGCCACAGCCTGATTACCACCACAGCCTGATTACCACCACAGCCTGATTACCACCACAGCCTGATTACCACCACAGCCTGATTACCAGTCATGGTATGATTTTTGTGGGTTGTTTGATGGGAAAACTAAGACAAGATAATATGATGATAACCAAACACAGGTCTCAATTGAGTACTTTTTCTCCATAAAATATTCACCTTGCATGACCAAACCCTTCAAAGTGGTTGAATGACCCATACAAGTTTACTGCTTGTGTCTTGAATATATACCCTTCAAGGGGCATTACCTTCCATTCCTCAGGTCCTGTATGACTCCTGTGGGGTTTGTGCTTTTCCCCTTTCACTTTGTTGGATCACCTTCTAGTGATAAACTTTGAGCAGCATTGCTTCACTATGAATCCAGCACCATCCCTTTTTTTTTCTTTTTAGATACAGGGTATAACTAGACAGTAAACATAATTTGTTATAGCTTATCACTGTAATTTTGAAAGGATTATGGATATGGTTAATGGCCTTATGCTGCTGATACCTACTAATTTTGGATATGGTTTGGACTGCAATGCATGATGCCACTGTCGCTGAAACTGCCTCCACTGATGTAGTTGCTGCTGCCGCTGACATTTTTTGTGCCGGTGCTGATGCTGCCCCTCCCAGTGCCGCCACTCCTGATGCTTCTGACACTACTGCCATTGTCTTTGGCAAACCTCTTCTGCCACCACTGCTGATGCATATGTTGTGTGACTTAGCCTGTGACTTGGATCAAATTCTGGATGTGATTTAGACTCACTTAAATTTTTCCTTTATATAAAAATACAAGTTTGTTTCAACATGATATAAAGTTTAGACAGAAATGGGTGATACTGGAGTACATGTTGAAAGTTCATGGTTATGTAGAGCATTGCAGGTTATGTTCACTGTACTGTGTCAGTCTCTTAGTTCTAATAGCTGCAATTAATATTAATAATAATAATAGTAATTTTATTTCAGCATGATACAATGTTTGTACAAAGAAGAATGACATTTGGGTGTACATGCTGAAAGCCCCTTTATATGATAGTAAAGTGTTCCATTTGCTGAAATTTGGTCACTTTGACTTTGGGTTATCCTAGGTAATTTACACATGTATTACTATGTATTATAATTGTACTTATGTGGACCTGTACTTAAATAAACTTACTAATTATTAATGGTAGTGCTATTTTCTGTGAATAACTGCATAGTTCTAGTGCTATGAAAATTGTATAACTTGCTCAACTACTGAGCTGAGAGGTACCTATATTCATTGGTAGCATCTTATGAAATTTTATTTGTAGTTATATGTTGGTGTCTGTCACTGGGGTAAAAGTGGATGTAGTTGTGCATGTGTGTGTTTGCATATGTGTGCATGTGTGTGTGTACTCACCTAATTGTACTCACCTAATTGTGGTTGCAGGGGTCGAGACTCAGCGCCTGGCCCCGCCTCTTCACTGATCGCTACTAGGTCCTCTCTCTCTGCTTCCTGAGCTTTGTCATACCTCTTCTTAAAACTATGTATGGTTCCTGCCTCCACTACATCACTTGAACATTAAAATGGTATAAAATACCGACAGGTTGTTAGGTAAGACACATATGCAACAGTTAGGTATCTTTATTTCGAAACGTTTCGCCTACACAGTAGGCTTCTTCAGTCAAGTACAGAAAAGTTGATAGAAGCAGAAGATACTTGAAGACGATGTAATCAGTCCATCACCCTTAAAGTTTTGAGGTGGTCAGTCCCTCAGTCTGGAGAAGAGCATTATTCCATAGTATGGAACAATGCTCTTCTCCAGACTGAGGGACTGACCACCTCAAAACTTTAAGGGTGATGGACTGATTACATCGTCTTCAAGTATCTTCTGCTTCTATCAACTTTTCTGTACTCGACTGAAGAAGCCTACTGTGTAGGCGAAACGTTTCGAAATAAAGATACCTAACTGTTGCATATGTGTCTTACCTAACAACTACATCACTTGCTAGGCTATTCCACTCCCTGACGACTCTATGACTGAAGAAATACTTCCTAACATCCCTGTTGCTCGTCTGAGTCTTCAGCTTCCAATTGTGACCCCTTGTTTCTGTATCCCCTCTCTGGAACATCCTGTCTCTGTCCACCTTGTCTATTCCCACCAGTATCTTGTATGTCATTATCATATCTCCCCTGACCCTTCTGTCCTCCAGTGTCGTCAGTCCGATTTCCCTCAACTTTTCATCGTGTGACATTCCCCTAAGCTCTGGAACTAGCCTTGTTGCAAACCTTTGTACTTTCTTTAACTTCTTGACGTGTTTGACCAGGTGTGGGTTCCAGACTGGTGCTGCATACTCCAGTATGGGCCTAACGTACACAGTGTACAGTGTCTTGACCGATTCCTTATTAAGGTATCGGAACGTTATTCTCAGGTTTGCCAGGTGCCCGTAAGCTGCAGCAGTTATCTGGTTGATGTGTGCCTCCAGTGACGTGCTCGTTGTTATGGTCACCCCAAGATCTTTCTCCCTGAGTGAGGTCTGTAGTCTTTGTCCACCTAGCCTATACTCTGTCTGCGGTCTTCTTTGCCCCTTTCCAATCTTCATGACTTTGCATTTGGCAGGGTTGAATTCGAGAAGCCAGTTTCTGGACCACGTGTCCAGCCTGTCCAGGTCTCTTTGCAGTCCTGCCTGTGTTTGTGTGTGTGTTTGTGTGTGTGTATGTGTGTGTGTTTGCATGTGTGTGTGTTTGCATGTGTGTGTTTGTGTGTACTCACCCAATTGTGGTTGCAGGGGTCAAGACTCAGCTCCTGGCCCTGCCTCTTCACTGACTGCTATTGGGTCCTCCCTCTCCCTGCTCCATGAGCTTTATCATACCTCGTCTTAAAGCTATGTATGGTTCCTGCCTCCACTACATCACTCGCCAGACTGTTCCACTTCCTGACCACTCTGTGACTGAAGAAATACTTCCTAACATTCCTGTGGCTCATCTGAGTCTTCATCTTCCAAGAGTGACCCCTTGTTTCTGTGTCCCCTCTCTGGAACATCTTGTCTCTGTCCACCTTGTCTATTCCACGCAGTATTTTTGTATGTTATCATGTATGTGTGTGTGTGTGTGTGTGTGTGTGTGTGTGTGTGTGTGTGTGTGTGTGTGTGTGTGTGTGTGTGTGTGTGTGTGTGTGTGTGTGTGTGTGTGTGTACTCACCTATTTGTGGTTGCAGGGGTCGAGTCCTAGCTCCTGGCCGTGTGTGTGTGTGTGTGTGTGTGTGTGTGTGTGTGTGTGTGTGTGTGTGTGTGTGTGTGTGTGTGTGTGTGTACTCACCTAGTTACTCACCTAGTTGAGGTTGCGGGGGTCGAGTCCGAGCTCCTGGCCCCGCCTCTTCACTGATCGCTACTAGGTCACTCTCCCCGAGCCGTGAGCTTTATCATACCTCTGCTTAAAGCTATGTATGGATCCTGCCTCCACTACATCGCTTCCCAAACTATTCCACTTACTGACTACTCTGTGTGTGTGTGTGTGTGTGTGTGTGTGTGCATGTGTGTGTGTGTGCATGTGTGTGTGTGTGCATTGTGTGTGTGTGTGCATTGTGTGTGTGTGTGCATTGTGTGTGTGTGCATTGTGTGTGTGTGTGTGTGTGTGTGTGTGTGTGTGTGTGTGTGTGTGTGTGTGTGAGAGCAATCTCTTAGTCTGTAGTGCTTCAGTTGAGCAGTGCAAAGCATTACCCACATTTTCATTATGTGAACCACATTGCTCCAGTGATCATGTATTAGGGAATTTATATTTCATAAAGGGAATTATTGGTAGGCTTGAAGTATTAGTATATAAATATATTTGCACACCAAGTATCTGCATAAAGATATAGTCCTGCTTAACTCACATTTTCTTTTCAGAATCTGCTAGTCATTGTCATCCTGGATGTGTACTAGACTAATTAATTGATGGCTTCTGAAAACATTCCCTCTCGCCTAGAGAGAGTTATTGAGTGCAAGCAGGGTGCTGTCAGAGCTGTCAGATTTAATGGTAAGCTCACTGCTAGTGTTAGTAGCTGAATAATAACCTTGCAAAATTGGATTGATGCAAAATCTAAGGAATGTGAAAGCCTTTTTTAACATTTTGCTGTTTAAAACATCTTAGAGGTGAAGTATAATTATATTCATTATAGTTTCATATCAACAACATAAAGCCCATGTTTAACGTGCATTTTTTTCATTAGCACCATAAAAGTTTACTTTTTTTATTGGTAAAGAGTAACATCTTGGAAAACTTTTTTGCCTGTATTCTTTTGCTATAATTGCATAGTACTTTTGACTTGTCTTCTTATTAAGAATGGAGGCAATTTGTTGTAATAGTTTCATTATTTTGTTGCCTAAGTTAATCTAGAGAACATTAGCTATAGAGGAAAATGGCCTTATTCATTGTAAAAAAAATCACATTTAATAAGGCCATAACATAATTATTTTTTTCCTTAATTTCAGTGGATGGTGCATACTGCTTAACATGTGGATCAGACAAATCAGTAAAACTGTGGAATCCCCACAAAGGCATACTTCTTCACACTTATTCAGGACATGGCTATGAAGTTTTGGATGCTCGAGGATCAAGTGATAATTCGTATGTGTGAAGGAAGAATGTATACTGTACCCTTCTAATTCATTACATTACTATTTTATTGTGTTTTTATTTGTAACTATATGGCAAAACAATCCTCTTTCTATTTTTAATCAGGTAGGGAAAGGTGGGGAGGGTTCGAGCACTTTCTTCTAGGGATATATGCTTAAAATTGGAGTCTGCATCAGTCTTATTTGTATTATGCCATCCTATATTAAGTATTTTATATATTTTTAGGATATCTATCTTTTTATGATAAAGTTTAAGGAGTTGAATTTTTCAATCACATTTGGTCATTTATTTTAGGCATACTTTCTCAAATATTTATGTGAAATCAGATTCTGAAGGCAGACTCATTTGAATTGCCTTAGCATGATCATATATCTTGGCTAATTTGTCTGTGAAAACCTCTCTGTGATAAAATGTTTGAAGTTGTTAAATAATGTTAAATGATGATCTAAGCATTATTCGCCATAATTAGACTAAAATCAGATTTATCTCTAAAAGTGGATAGAATCATAGCTGAAATTAATGGTGGGTATAAACTTAGTTGTCGGCTGGCTGCATGAGATATGTTAGAGCTTAACAAAAGTTAAAACAGTAATCAAAATAATCTTTTAATGTTTCAGGCTCATTGGCTCTTGTGGTTTAGACAAATCTGTAATGATGTGGAATGTCAGTACTGGAGAAGCACTGAGAAAGTTTCGAGGCCATGCTGCAAGAGTTAATTGTGTGGCATTTAATGAAGAGTCTACTGTAATATTGTCAGGTTCTGTTGATACTACTGTCAGAATATGGGATCTTCGCAGCCGCAAAAATGAACCCATTCAGGTTAGTGAAAACTTTTGCTTTATTAGCATTTTTCACTAATTTTTGATACATAATTGTGAACTAACAATATATAATTATGTAAAATGAAATATAGAACTGAACCTTATTGTTTCAATTCCAAAACAAATTGAATGAAGGGAAATTTAATTTTGATTCAGGCCCAAGTCAGCAGAAATTTCTAGAAAATGCTCTGACTCTAAAGAATGACTTGAAACACAATCAGTCTTTAAAATCAGATTGCTCTCAGAAGCCAGGTCACTCTTGAAGGTCAGGTTCTACCATACTGGTGATGCATCACTCATAATGTTGATCTTAATACTACTGACTGCGAATAGGATTTGGGAGTTCTGGTTAGCAGTAATCTAAAACCAAGACAACAGTGCATTAGTGTTTGCAATAAAGCTGACAGAATCCTTGGCTTCATATCAAGAAGTATAAATAATAGAAGTCCTCAGATTGTTCTTCAACTCTATATATATCCTGGTTAGGCCTCATTTAGATTATGCTGCACAGTTCTGGTCACTGTATTACAGAATGTAAATGCACTGAAAAATGTACAGAGGAGGATGACAAAATGATCCCATGTATCAGAAATCTTCCCTTTGAGGATAGACTGAGGACCCTGAATCTGCACTCTCCAGAAAGGTGTAGAATTAGGGGGGATACAATTGAGGTGTATAAATGGAAAACAGGAATAAATAAAGGGGATGTAAATAGCGTGCTGAAAATTTCCAACCAAGACAGGACTCACAGCAATGGTTCAAGTTGGAAAAATTCAGGTAATAGAGTTTTGAATAAGTGGAACAAACTCCCAAGTACCATCATAGAAGCTAAAATGTTATGTAGTTTTAAAAAATAGGTTAGATAAATACATGAGTGGTTGTGGGTGGGTGTGAATTAGACCTGACTAACTTGTGCTACTAGGTCTGATGCCATGCTCATTCCTTAAGTGGATTGACCTGACTAGGTGGGTCATTGCTCTAAGCCGGGGGGTGACATGGACCTGCTTCACATGGGTCAGTAGGCCTGCTGCAGTGTTCCTTTTTTCTTATGTTCTTATCTCTGCTTAGGCCAGGTGAAGTGGTTATGTGACAGGGGTAGTGATACTGGGTCTATGTCTGTAATAAATACAGTTGACTCTTGAGCAATGTGGGGGTTAGGGGCAACGAACCCCCCACACAGTCAAAATTCTGCATATAACTTTGGACTTCCCAAAAACTTAACTACTAATAGCCTACTGTTGACCAGAAGCCTTATCGATAATATAAACAGTTAAGTAACATATACAGTGGAACCTCGTTTTTCGGCCACTGCATTTATCGGCCAGTTCGTATTTAGACCAGTTTTTTGACAGAAATTTTGCTCTGTATTTTGGACATTGCCTTGTATATTGGCCATATTAGACGTGTTAGCCTGTCTCCCACTGGGACGCTGCGCGTAGGTGAGTCAATCTCCCCTTGTCTGTCGGTGAGTGAGCATATACTCTGTGCATTCATCCAAACATTTCATTAAAATCCATTGTTTTAGGTGTTTTTTTTTTATTAAATGCAACTGTGAAATAAGTTACCATGGGCCCCAAGAAAGTTCCTAGTAAAGTTCCTTTGGTAAAAAAGTGAGAAAAATGGTGGAATTAAGAAGGAAGTAATAGAAAAATATGAGTGGTATGCATGTGCTCCAGCTTGCCAGGATATATGGCAAAAACAATTCAACAATCACTTCTATCCTGGCAAAGAAAGAACAAATCGAGGAAGCTGATGTGGCGAAAAGGGTAAACATGTTAATGAAAAAGAGATCACAAACAAATGAAGATGTGGAGATGTTGTTGTTGTTGTGGATCAGGGAAAAACAGTTAGCGGGAGATAGTGTTTCAGAGATGATCATTTGTGAAAGGGCAAGGCAGTTGCATGCAGATCTTGTAAAGAAAATGCCTGGTACTAGTGATGATGTCAGGGAATTTAAGGCCAGCAGAGGCTGGTTTGAGAGATTTAAGAAGTATAGTGGCATACACAGTGTTGTAAGGCATGGTGAGGCTGCAAGTTCAGGAAAATGTGCGGCTGAAAAATTTGTGAAGGAATTCAAGGGGTACGTAGAGGCTGAAGAATTCCAACCCCAATGAGTGTTCGACTGTGACGAAACAGGCCTCTTTTGGAAGAAAATGCCAAAGAGGATCTACATCATGGAGGAGGGAAAGGCACTGCCAGGACACAAGCCTATGAAAGACAGGCTAACTCTTTTGTTCTGTGCTAACACTAGTGGGGATTTCAAAGTGAAACCTTTACTCGTGTATCACTCTGAAAATCCCAGAGTATTCAAAAAAAACAGTGTTGTCAAGAGTAAATTGTGTGTGATGTGGAAAGCTAATCATAAGGCATGGGTCACAAGCCAACTTTTCATTGACTGGGTCCATGAGGTGTTTGGCCTGAGTGTGAAAAAATACCTCCTTGAAAATAAATTGCCATTCAAGTGCCTCCTGGTAATGGACAATGCTCCTGCTCATCCTCCATACTTGGTAGACCAGTTGTCTAGGGATTTGAGTTTTATAACAGTGAAGTTCTTGCCTCCTAACACCACTCCTCTCATCCAGCCCATGGACCAGCAGGTCATTTCCAGCTTTAAAAAACTCTACACAAAAGCATTGTTTCAGAAGTGCTTTGAAGTGACCTTGGACACTGAATTGACCCTAGGAGAGTTCTGGAGGAATCACTTCAGTATGTACAACTGCATGAGCCTTATAGGTAAGGCTTGGCAGGGAGTGACTTCCAGGACTTTGAACTCTTCTTGGAGACAATTGTGGCTAGACCGTGTCCTCGAGAAGGATTTTGAAGGGTTTGAGGCTGACCCTGACCCTGTCAACCCTCTGCCTGTTGTGGAATCTATTGTGGCATTGGGGAAGTCCATAAGGTTGAATGTGAGTGGCAAGGATGTGGAAGAGCTGTTGGAGGACCACAGGGAAGAGCTAACCACTGAAGAGCTGCAACACCTTCAACTGGAACAGCAACAGACCACAGCTGAAGAACTTGCTTCAGAGGAGGAGGAAGAGAGAGGGAAGGATGTGCCTTCTTCAGTGATTAAGGACATTTGTGCAAAGTGGAATGAGGTGCAAACTTTTGTGGAGAAATATCACCCTGATCAAGCTGAAACAAGCCGTATGTACAACATGTTTAGTGAAAAAAAACTTGTCCCATTTTAGGGAAATCTTAGAGTTGCCAGAAACAGAGCACTTTGGACAATAATTTTGTGCAACGGGTCCAGTGGCTCTCAAGCTGGTCCTAGTGGCATTAAAAGACAAAGAAGGGAAGTAACCCCAGAGAGGGACTTGTTACTAAATTTCTTATGGAGGGGGATTCCCCTTCCAAACAATAATCCGCCCTCCCCCTCTCCTCCTCCCTTTCTTCCATAAGCCAGCATGAGTCTTCAATAAAGGTATGTAATAGTGATTTAAATGTTTTTTATTTTATTTACTTCTCATTGTTTTGTGTATGTTAAACTATAATTAATCTTTAAAAAATGTATTTTTTGTGAATATTTTTGGGTGTCTGGAACAGATTATTTGTACATGTTTTTTATATTATTCTTATGGGAAGTATTGCTTCTAATTTAGGCCGTTTCAAATTTAGGCCAACCTTCTGGAACGGATTACGGCCAAAAAACGAGGTTCCACTGTATTTTGTATGTTATATGTACATATTATATACTATATTCTTACAATAAAGTAAGCTAGAGAAAAGAAAATCATTAGGAAGAGTAAATACATTAAGAGTACTATGCTGTATTTATCAATACAGTACTATAAGTTTATATCATCTGTCTGTCAGTACCTCCACCAAAATTGTCTTATGATACAAAACACTATAGATGTTATACATACATGTATTACTAACACTAGATATCAAAAAGAAAAGATAATGTGAAAAAGAAATTCATATTTATTTATGATTTAGTATTGCATCTTTACGTTTGTTTACATTTGTCTCAATTGTGTATGAAACTCATTCTATCTGTAATAGTAATATAATATACATGTATTATTATTTTTATTACTATTATTATTTTTTTTTTTAAACAAGTCAGACATCTCCCACCGAGGCAGGGTGACCCAAAAAAGAAAGAAAATCCCCAAAAATAAAATACTTTCATCATCATTCAACTCTTTCACCTCACTCACACATAATCACTGTTTTTGCAGAGGTGCTCAGAACACAACAGCTTAGAAGCATATACGTATAAAGATACACAACGTATCCCTCCAAACTGCCAATATCCCGAACCCCTCCTTTAGAGTGCAGGCATTGTACTTCCCATTTCCAGGACCCAATTCCGGTTATATAAAAATAATATACAGCCTCTCCACACTTAACGACAGGCATTATGCTGGGTGAATGCCCCGGCATAATGCCGTGATGAAAATCAAAGGCCTACCATACAGGGGGTCTTTTTTCATCAGTGCATTTATACCGGGTACCAGCTGTTAGCATGACGTCACTGCCTTCCGCCACAATCCACAGTGACTCCTCAGTGCTCAAGTGGCTCCCATGGTGAGAGCAAGTGTTGCACTTTTGTTTCTCATCTGCCCATCTTTTGTCTGGTGTTCCCTTTGGTTTTGGGGCTATACATGTTTGATTATGGGTACAAGGAAGTCTTTAACAACTTAAACTATAGCTCAAATCATAGGGTTTCACAAAGCTGGGCACCAGACGAAATAAATAGTGGAGAATGTTTGTGTGTGAGCATTCAGTGAGGAACTGGGTGCAGCGTTTCAAGGCTGGCGGCGGTGTCGAGTTACCATCAGCCAAACCTCTGCCTGGCCCTTCGAAGAAGACATCTGTTCATACCTTAACTGTGTTAAAGAAGCAGTTCAAGAGTGCTCCTAACATCTTCTCTCAGAGGTGTCTGTAAGAACTGTTAACAGACGTGTGTCAGAACTGGGCTATAGTAGTCACCACCAGGATAAGAAACTGATCCTTTCCAAGCCACAGAAGAAACATAGGCTGCATTATGCAAAGAAATATCTTCATTGAAATCCTCAACAGTGGTTTGAAGTACTTTGGAGTGATGAAGCAACCTTCACCGTCAACTGTAACTGTGGAGGACATGTGTACTGGCCCAGTGATAGTGACCCGCTAGGCCCACGCTACACCCATGGGACCACCAAACACCCAGTGCTCAGCGTTGGTGAACTCATTGTGCTTCCCGAAAACCAGTATAATGAAGCAGTATGTAATTACCTAGAATTATTGTGTGACAATTTACTTGAGGCATTTGACAAGTGTGGGACTATGGTTTTTATGCAGGATGGTGCACTGTGTCATACCACCAAATCTGTAGTTCAGTGGCTTAAGGACTCTGAAGCGAGGTTCTTTAATGACTGGCCAGGCAATTCCCCAGACCTAAACTGTAGTGAGAACCTCTGGTCAATAGTGAAATGAAGTTTGCTGGGCAAGGATATCAGTTCCATTGTTGTGTGAGTGCCCTTGGATAAGTACCGGATGAAGAATACGCACAAAGTCGGTTGGTAACTTATACTATTGATAGTCTTGTGAGGGGAGGAAGCCCAGGGCCTCGCCTTGTCCAGTCTATGCCTAGCCGGAATCTGAGAGGGAGGCCTGTGGGCAAGCGCTCGCATGCACGGCTGCGTGACATCACAGCTAGCCATTGAGCCTAACTGGTCAGGGAGCCTATATATAATACAGCTGATACAATTACGATATACTACGCAAGTATATTACATAGGGATTCAGTAACACCACTGACACCATCCTCCAGTTGGAGGCTGCTCTACATGAGGCATGGAATAATATACCTCCCAAAACCTTACATAAAGGATGCAGCACCAAGTATTAAAACCTCGGTAAGCGTGCAAATATATATATTATAATCTTTCATGGTATGTGTTTGTGTTTTGGTACATGTGTAGGAAAGGGTTGGCATAATGCCTTGACTAGCACTGTAGGTTGGTAAGCAAATAATTACAGATTGTACATGTTCCATTAGCAGTCGAGACAAATATAAACAAAGGTAAAGATGTAATAATATAATACACCTACCATCCGACTTACGACCGAGTTCGGTTCCGAGAAACCGGTCGTAAGTCGAAATGGACGTAAGTCGGACTTTACTACTGAATATCAACTTCACATTTTTGTAATGACTTTATTTTATTGTTTTATTTAGGTATTTCATATTTTACTTTATTTTTTATGCTGTTAGTACTGTATTTTATACTGTAAGGTTTAGGATAAACAATGTGTACAACACAAATAGTTGTTTATTTCCCAGAAATTTGGCAAAAAAAAAACACGGTCGTAAGTCGAGTGGTCGTAAGTCGAGCAGGTCGTAAGTTGGATGGTAGGTGTATAGTATAATAATAATTCTCCATGGGGAATTGGAATGGATTCCTTCCTCCCAAATCCTTGCATGTCATAAGAGGCGACTAAAATGCCGTGAGCAAGGGGCTAGTAACCCATTCTCCTGTATATATATTACTAAAGTTAAAATGAGAAACTTTTGTTTTTCTTTTTGGGCCACCCTACTTTGGTGGGATATGGCCAGTTTGTTGAAAGAATAATAATAATATTTTTTTTTTTAAACAAACTGGCTGTATCCCACCAAGGCAGGGTGACCTAGTAAGTAATTTATATAGAAGAAGGGGTTACAGCCCTTTGCGCCCAGCATTTTAGTCACCTCTTATGAAATGCATGGCTTATGGAGGAAGAATTCTATTCCATTTCCCCATGGAGACATCCAAATATGTCCTAAATAATGTTCTTATTTTACTAGGAAAAAATTGCTACGCTATAACTTACCTTACATTCTGATAGTGGTGATGTGTTGATTCTGAAGTACTTATGTGAAGGGCTGATGTGGGCCTACTCGGCTGACGTGGATGGCTGTGGTTCTTATACTGATGTGGTTGCAGTTTTTAGCAGTTGGAATGCTTATAGATTTTGGAATGCATCTCTGGTCTGTTTTACCTGCAGTATTCTAGAGAGCTGATGATAAGGCATCATCAGCTGCTCTAGACTCTGCTTGAGATCATTACTTCTAGACATGCCAGGGGTATTTTTTTTAGTGAAATATTTTCTAAGACAATACAGTCCAAAAATACTAATAACAGTTGCAATTCTTCAGGTTTTAGATGAAGCAAAAGATGCTATAATGACAGTTGCAGTTTCCGCCCATGAGATACTCACTGCATCCCTAGATTGTTACACCAGAATATACGACTTACGTAATGGACAACTGGTGTCAAACTGTATTGGAGGTAGGTTGAATGTTTTTATTTTTCTTATTAACACATTGGCCGTTTCCCACCAAGGCAGGGTGGCCCGAAAAAGAAAAGCTCTCATCATCATTTACTCCATCACCTTCTTGCCAGAGGCATGCTTACACTACAGTTATAAAACTGCAACATTAACACACCTCCTTCAGAGTGCCAGCACTGTACTTCCCATCTCCAGGAATCATGTCCGGCCTGCCAGTTTCCCTGCATCCCTTCATAATGTTACCTTGCTTACACTCCAACAGCATGTCAAGTCCTAAAAACCATTTGTCTCCATGTTCTCCTGTCTAACACGCTCACACACGCTTGCTGGAAGTCCAAGCCCCTCCTTTACCCCCTCCCTCTAACCTTTCCTAGGCAGACCCCTACCCTGCCTTCCCTCCACTACAGATTTATACACTCTCGAAGTCATTCTATTTAATTCCATCCTCTCTACATGTCCAAACTATCTCGGTAACCCCTTCTCAGCCCTCTGGATAATAGTTTCGTTAATCCCACACCACCACCTAATCTCCAAACTACAGATACTCTGCATTATATTCACACCACACATTGCCCTCAGACATGATCATCTCCACTGTCTCCAGCCTTCTCCTTGTTGCAGCATTCACCACCCATGCCTCACACCCATGCAAGAGCATTGGTATAACTATACTCTCATACATTCCTCTCTCTGCTTTCATGGATAAAGTTCTTTGTCTCCACAGACTCCTCAGTGTACCACTCGCCTTTTTCCCCTCGTCAATTCTATGATTCACCTCATCTTTCATAGACCCATCTGCTGACATGTTCACTCCCAAATATCTGGATGCATTCACCTCCTCCATACTCTTTCCCTCCAGTCTGATATCCAATCTTTTGTTACCTAATTTTTTTGTTATCCTCATCACCTTGCTCTTTCCTATATTCACTTTTAATTTCCTTCTTTAACATACCCTACCAATTAAACATTAGTAATACCTTAAAGGAAGCATCATTTTCAGTGTTTAAAACACTGAATATTGATGCATAATGAAATATTTATGAAATATCTTTTATTTTTATCATGGCTTATATTAATTTTCCGATTACATTTTTCATCTTTCATAAAGGCAGTTTTCATTTACCTAGATATTAAGAGGAGTGCTGAAGAGGATTCTAGGTGTAAAGTTAATAGTATGATAATTTAATTACTGGTAGGCAAAATTATATTTGTTTTAAGAGATGTAAATGTATTAGTGCGAGAGATTGTTGTTGAAGGTACAGTAGGGAAGATTGAGATGGTCTAGTGTAAATGTCTTTTTTATATTATCAAAAAGGTTCATTGTTTTCAGCATCTCTAATCATTTTAATGTGTAATTTATATTACTGTACAAGCGTGCATGAGCGTGTTAGATACGAGTGAATGGAAACGAATGGTTTTTGGGACCTGATGAGCTGTTGCAGTGTGAGCAGGGTAATATTTTGTGAAGGGATTCAGGGAAACCGGTTAGCCGGACTTGAGTCCTGGAAATGGGAAGTACAATGCATGCACTTTAAAGGAGGGGTTTGGGATATTGGCAGTTTGGAGGGACTTCTAAACTGTCATATCTGGGTACCGCTGCAAAGACAGTGATTATGTGTGAGTGATGGTGAAAGTGTTGACTGATAATGAAATTTTTTTCTTTCTTTTTGAGTTTTTCTTTCTTTTGGGTCACCCTGCCTTGGTGGGAAGTGGCTGATGTGTTAAAAAAAAAATGTATATGTATACATGTATATATATATTTTTTTTTTTCAACAAACTGGTCGTATCCCACCAAGGCAGGGTGGCCCAAAAAGAAAAACGAAAGTTTCTCTTTTAAAATTTAGTAATTTATACAGGAGAAGGGGTTACTAGCCCCTTGGTCCCGGCATTTTAGTCGCCTCTTACAACACGCATGGCTTACAGAGGAAGAATTCTGTTCCACTTCCCCATGGAGATAAGAGGAAATAAACAAGAACAAGAACTAGAAAGAAAATAGCAGAAAACCCAGAGGGGTGTGTATATATATGCTTGTACATGTATGTGACTTCCAGCAGGCGTGCATGAGCGTGTTCGATAGGAGTGAATGGAGACGAATGGTATTTGGGACCTGCCGATCTGTTGGAGTGTGAACAGGGTAATATTTAGTGAAGGGATTCAGGGAAACCTGTAATTTTTATATAGCCGGACTTGAGTCCTGGAAATGGGAAGTACAATGCCCGCACTCTAAAGGGGGGGTTTTGGGATATTAGCAGTTTGGAGGGATATGTTGTGTATCTTTATAGGTATATGCTTCTAAACTGTTGTGTTCTGAGCACCTCTGCAAAAACAGTGATTATGTGTGAGTGAGGTGAAAGTGTTGAATGATGATAAAAGTATTTTCTTTTTTGGAATTTTCTTTCGTTTTGGGTCACCCTGCCTCGGTGGGAGACGGCCCCGCCCCCCGAAAAAAAAAAAAAAATGTATGTGTAGTGTGACCTAAGTGTAAGTAGAGTAGCAGACGTACCTGAAATCTTGCATGTTTATGAGACAGAAAAAAGGACACCAGCAATCCTACCATCATGTAAAACAATTGCAGGCTTTCGTTTTACACTCACTTGGCAGGATGGTAGTACCTCCCTGGATGGTTGCTGTCTACCAACCTACTACATAGGATATTATATCTTTCTTCTTTCAACACACCGGCCATATCCCACCGAGGCGGGGTGGCCCAAAAGGAAAAACGAAAGTTTCTCCTTTTACATTTAGTAATATATTACAGGAGGAAAGGGTTACTGCCCCTTGCCCCCGGCATTTTAGTCGCCTTTTTACACATGCATGGCTTACGGAGGAAGAATTCTGTTCCACTTCCCCATGGAGATAAGAGAAAATAAACAAGAACAAGAACTAGAAAGAAAATAGAAGAAAACCCAGAGGGGTGTGTGTATATATATGCTTGTACATGTATGTGTAGTGTGGCCTAAGTGTAAGTAGAAGATAGCAAGACGTACCTGAAACCTTGCATGTTTACGAGACAGACAAAAGACACCAGCAATCCTACCATCATGTAAAATAATTACAGGCTTTCGTTGTACACTCACTTGGCAGGATGGTAGTACCTCCCTGGGCAGTTGCTGTTTACCAGCCTACTACCTAGGATAGTTTACCTCATCCTTCATAAACTCATCCACTGACAAGTCAACTCCCAAATATCTGAAAACATTCACTTCTTTCATACTCCCTCCCTCCAATGTAATATCCAATTTTTCTTTATCTAAATTGTTTGATACCCTCATCACCTTACTCTTATCTATGTTCACTTTCAACTTTCTACCTTTACACACCCTCCCAAATTTTTTGACTAATCTTTGCAACTTTTCTTTAGAATCCCTCAAAAGCACAATATCATCAGCAAAAAGTAACTCAACTCCCATATTGTATTTGATTCCCCATGTAATTTAATCCCACCCCTCTCCCCAACACCCTAGCATTTACTTCTTTTACAACCTCATCTATAAATATGTTAAACAACCATGGTGACATTACACATCCCTGTCTAAGACCTACTTTTACTGGTAATCTCCCTCTCTCCTACAAACCCTAACCTGAGCCTCACTACCCTCATAAAAACTCTTTACAGCATTTAGTAACTTACTTCCTATTCCATACACTTGCAACATCTGCCACATTTCTCCCCTATGCATTCTATCATATGCTATTTCTAAATCCATAAATGCAGTGAAAAAATCCCTATCTTTTTCCAAATACTGTTCACATATATGCTTCAATCTAAACACTTGATCTACACATCCCCTACCCATTCTAAAGCCTCCTTGCTTATCTGCAATGTATGTACTCTGATAATTATACTTATGTTTACCTGTACCTAAATAAACTTACACACTGTGCTGGCATGCCGGCACACATTAAAATCACTAGGAGTGTCTTGAGGATACCATATTAATAATGTGATAATAATAATAATATACAATAATGATCACTTTGAGGCTCATTAAATGTCGTATATTACGTTAATATAAACATTTTCATTAATCCATCTATGATATTTTTTCAAAAATTATATAATAAACATGCTACGTAACATATAAACATGATACATACAACTCACAGTAGAATAAATTAGCATAAATATGAGATACACGTATGAACCAAAACCAGACGTGTTCGTTGGCTTGTTTACACAACTCTGTCTCTCTCCATTAATTTACTTGTTATCTGTCTGTCTCTGTCTCTCTCTGTCTCTGTCTCTCTCTCCTCTCTCTCTCTCTCTCTCTCTCTCTCTCTCTCTCTCTTTGTCTCAGTCTGTGTGTCTGTTTTCTGTCTCTCTGTCTCTCGCTCTGTCTCTCGTCTGTCTGTTTGTCTCTCTCTCTCTCTCTTCTGTCTCTCTCTCTCTCTCTCTCTCTTCTTCTCCTCTCTCTCTCTCTCTCTCTCTTTTTTTTTTTTTTTTTTTTTTTACACAGGTTTGACAAGGTTAAGGATCCCTAGTTTATTGACAAACTATTTACAGGTTAAGGATTTTCCCAACTTTATTGGCAAGCTAAGAGCTGTTACCCTACATCGCTCATTTGGAAAGCATTTTTATTGTTATGAGACATACAAGTAGGGAACAGGATAAAGTTGGAGCCATCTGTGGGCCAGCATTTTCATTTGATCAACTGACTTTATCTCGTTGACATCATTATGCTGTACAAATGTGTTCCATACTCGAGTCATCCTGGGTATGTATGATCTCAGATGGAGTGAAGTTCTGGAGAAGGGTACAGCCAGAGTGAAGTTGCTGCTTTCTGCCCGTCTTGTGGCATAAAAGCTTGTTTCACGCTGTCCTCGAAGTGGATCCAAGTGTGGTATTTTGACAATATTGGCCTTGTACATAACAGTAAGGCCACCCACATCTCTCCTATGTTGAAGGCTCTGCTGAAATGACAGATCTATCCAGGATGGGTCCAGGCGAGAGATGAGACGTCTTGCTCTGTTCTCTACTCTGCCAAGCAGCCGCAGATGA